ACCACATTATTGAAAACTCGGACCCCATTGTGATCCATTCGGAGATGTCCCCCATTGTTGAAAACTCGGACCCATTGTCCACTAGATGAACTTCCGAAAGTAAAGTTGCTTGGATTAGGACTTCCACCATTTTGGCCATAGACTAAGCGCTTCCCCACAAATTCACTATTCTGTGTATATCCAGTTAGAGCTTGTAAAAATCGCTGCTTATCTTGAAATATTTACGCCAAAATATTTTTTCTTGAAATGCATGACTGCATGCCCAATAAAAATCCAAACAATTCAAATATCTTGATAGCATTATCAAATTCTTCGTAATCATCTTGGTTGAAAAAATTTGGACATAATTGTTGTAAAATTTGGCACTAAAACTCTATGAAGCCAGTCATTGTATTTGTTAGAGTTTCCTCAAATGATTGTTTTCTACGATTTCCTCTTGAATCACTCCCAATAGATATTCGTGAGCTTTTTGCCCCTCTCTGTGAACTACTTCCACGTCTTAGTCCACCTTGTTGTTGAACTCTTGAAGCAGGAGTATGAAATAGAGAAGCATGTGGAGAATTCTGATGTAAATGATCCTGGGTGAATTCATTTGAGGGACGTGTTTCATCGCTGATGTTAGCGCGATACACCTCTCCATTTTCTTATGTCTTAGGAACTTGATTTTCATCATCATTTATGACTTCATTCATTAACCCTTCTCTTTTTTGGTGCACAGAATACTGAGACTGTGATTGTACATCATATAAGATGAAACAACGTTTAATCACATTCCAACAGTCAGGCGGATTTCATTTAAATTTCTTACAATCCTACATCCATAGTTTATTAAATTTTAGTATACAAGTTTACTGTATACCAAATTTACTGAACATATTTATATACTTACAGCTTCACGATCTTTCCACCACGAATTTTACGCAGATATGACGGATATAACAGGATCAACTGTAATTCCCGTAGAATTTTGCTTAAGTTTCTTGTAGTTTCTTTTCAGTTGTTCAAGCTTTTGTTTGCAAAATCGATAATTTATATTTAAATTGAACTCCTTGTTGGATTTTTCAACCAAAAACTCCCTTCCAAGGGGTGTTGGATCTTTGAAGCGGAAATTATTCAAAGCAATTCCTTGATTGTAAAACTTAATAAATATTCTTTCCTGACTAGAAGTCCATTTAAAATTTTATTCACTCTACAAATTTTAAAAATTCTCAATATTTATTTGCTTAAATTAGAAGGTACAATTTGGTAAAATAAGGTGTAAATATATACCCATGCTGATGTTTCTGTAGACAAATTGTATCATCTTGCATAAAACAATTTTCCTTTTGTAAGTGATTAGACATACCTACAAATACAATTTAAAAATTATTTGAAGTTAAATATTAGAAAACTACTATTTTAAAATCTTCAATTACTAAATATTGTTCATAGTTCTATATTTTATATGCATCTTTTATACTATAATACAATCAAATACGTTATGTTCCTCTAATATAATAATGTCTTTATGACTAATACATAACTAAAATAAGTACGTATTAGTTTTATTAAGAGAGATAAAGATTTGTGAGAAAAAAACAAAAACAATTTTCAAACGTATTGACCATTTTGAAATTCAAAATTCAAAATTCAAAACTCAAAATTTTCTCATTCGTGACAAGAAAATAAATAATTTAATAATGGTATCGATTATTGGAAATTTTTCCCAAACTCGCAGGTACATCTTAATTATACGTACATGGTAACATATACCACTCTATTTATACTTAAATGCATAGTTTGGTTTTATCTTGTTGACTTTCTTTTTAATTAATAAATTTTTGTGACAAGAAAATAATTTAAATCTGGAAAATTGGGACAGCTCAAAACACATAGTTCTTATACCCATCATCTCCATGTATATATTTGTTTTTACATGTGTATTTAATCACTTATTTTCAGAATAATCAATCGTTTGAAGGAACATTTTCAAAGATGATTACAATAAATAAAAATAAACCATATATATGGGTCAGCCAATTATATTCAAATAAAAGTATTTTACAACAAAACATAAATATAAGCTAGTTTTCAAATGTATAAACTTTATTTTTTTATATTTTTAGATAAGGTATTTAAAAAAAGATATATTAAATAACATATATTAACCTATATGAATATTTATGATAATGAAATTCCCCCTAAAATAAGCATATTTCCATGAAATAAATATGAGATTAACAAGTAAGACTATATACCAAGCATTATATATATATATATATATATATATATATATATATAGAAACATAATTGGTAGAAAAAAGCATGTTTTAAACAAAAATTTAAATACCATATTTCTATAACTAGTAATATATTATATAATGTAAATATATTTATTTATGAGAAAAAATTATACCTTTCATCAGAAAATTATAGAAACAAGAGGTGTAGAGTTGAAGCATGAATTGTGATTTGAATTCTGTAACAAAAAATATGCTACAATAAAAAGAAAAATAAACAAATTGGTTTTAGTTATTAAATAGAAAATACCTTCCAATGTCTTGGAAATGATATGAGATGTTCTACATAAAAAGAACATAATATATTAGTATATAGAAAATATAAAATGTATGTACTTTATTTTTTTTTTAAACATTTGCTAAATGAAGATAGAAAACGAGTGAGAGAAAAAGAAGTAGAGTAAGTTATGTTACAAATGTGAACAAACTGTAAGTTATGTTCCTTCAACGCTCACCATATGTTTCTTCTTCTTCAACTTCCTCTATCTCCTTCTCCATCGTTGATTAGTGGTGGTGGTGGTGGTGGTGGAGATGATGGTGAGATTAAACAAGGGACCTCAAAGATCCCAATCTCTAAGCGCCTTCACAGGATCTTTCCAATATGGATTAGGAAACACCACAAGCTCCAATCGTCTGTGAGTCACTAAACGGAGAAGAAGAAGTTGTAATTGAAGGATGAAGTGATTGATCCATTTTTTTGATTTTTTCCTTGAGGAAGAACGAAGAACGTGATCTTCTTCTTCTTCTTTTTAATTTTAAGGGTTTTTTTAACACATAAAGAAGGTTTAATCCGGTACTCGGGTTGAAATTAAAATTAATCTGGTTAATAAAATTGATTAATTGGTTAAGAAAATATTAAACCAACAGTAAACCAATTATTAACCGTATAAACCCAGATTTTTGGAAAATTAGGATGAGAACTACGATATTAGGGGAAATAAGAATAGAACTTTCGATTTCGGGTGGATATAGGAATACAACTATCGATTCGGATAGTTTGAAGACGAGATTAAAGTTTCGTGTAGTTTTTATACGGTGTGATAGTTTTCGGGAGAAATAGGTCGTCGATCACTTGCAAGGATCAACTGTTCTTTTTCTGACTCTCCATTCAAAGCCATATTGTGCTCAAAGAGAGAAGAAAATTAGCCATGGGTCATCGGGTAATTTTGTTATTTCGGTTTTTGGTTCTTTTGAGTTTTAAAAATCTTCCCGAACTAAACGACGGTTATTTCAGTTTTTCGGTTAATTCGATTTTAAATTTTCAAAACAAAAATTTGGATTAAAAAAACTTGGGTTTTCGATTATGTAAAGATTATTTCGGAGTTTTTAGGTTTTGAGTTTTTTAAAGAAGTAGAAAACGAATGAGAGAGTAAAAAGTGTATTTTATATAGAAAAAGAAAAAAAAAGTGTTTTATTTATATTGAAAAGCTGTGTGGACAACATGCAATGCATTTGTCCTGTCTTTATCACAAAAGGACAAAAAGCTGCCCATAGTTTTTTGTGTTTATTTTAAAAATACAAAAAAAAAAATATGAATGATGTATTGAGAACTGGAGACTAACATGCAAAGATCAACTGTTCTTTTTCTGCCTCCCAATTCAAAGCCTTATTTGTGCTCAAAGAGAAGAATAAAAGTAGCCATGGGTCATCGGTTAATTTGGTTAGTTTGGTTTTGGTACTTTTGAGTTTTAAAAATCTTACCGAACTAAACAAAGGTTATTTCAGTTTTTGGTTAATTCGGTTTTAAATTTTCAAAACATAAATTTGGTTTAAAAAATCTGGGTTTTTGGTTATGTAGGGATCATTTCGAGTTTTTGGTTTTTCAATTTTCTAAAGAAGTAGAAAACGAGTAAGATAAGAAAAAGTGTACTTTATAAAGAAAATGACAAAAAATTATTTTATTTATATTGAAAAGCCACATGGATAACATGCATTGCATTTGTCCTATTTTTATCACAAAAGGACAAAAAAGTGAACTGTCTATAGCTTTTCTGTCTTTATTTTAAAAATACAAAAAAATATAAATAGTGTATTGAGAACCGAAGGCCTACTTGCAAGTATCGAATGTTCTCTTTCTGCCTCTCCATTCAAAGTCTTATGTGTGCTCAAAGAGAGAAGAAAAGTAGCCATGGGTCATCGGTTAGTTTTGTTATTTCGGTTTTTGGTTCTTTTGCGTTTTAAAAATCTTGCCGAACTAAACGACGGTTGTTTCTGTTTTTCGGTTAATTTGGTTTTAAATTTTCAAAACAAAAATTTGGTTTAAGAAAACTTGGGGTTTTCGGTTATGTAGAGATAATTTCAGGTTTTTTGGGTTATGAGTTTTATCTTAAATATTTCATATTTCTGTTTTATTCGGTTATTTAGGGATAAAATTCAGTTATGTTGTTAAAAAAAATTGGTTTACCGATAGCTGAACCAAAATGTTTTGGTTTTCTGAATTTTTTCTGCCGATCGGTTCGGCCGCCGTAACCAAAACCAAACCGAACACTCAAAATATCAGTTCGGTCTGGTTTGGTTATTTTGGTTTGGTTTATAATCTCAGGCCAAGGAAAAACGTCAATTCAGAGTATGTGTCTTCCAAAAAAAAAGATGAATTGGCAAAATAGATAGTTTTTTTTTTCAGTAAAATAGAAAGTTTTTAAAAAGATATTAGGTTTGTAGATAGTTTACTATTCCTAATTGGGAAAACATATTTTTTGACAACTATGTACACGCACTCTCTTTTTTTTTTGTCATCTAGAATTTTATTAGAAACTTGTTGTGGAACACAAGGTGAAATACAAAGCCCAAAAGAGGGAAACTTAAGGCGGCGGACGACATAAATGTCCCCGGAGTCAAAGCCAGCGGAAAACGTAATTTCTCCAGAAACTTAACCCTAAAAAGAAAAACGAAGGGAAAGAAAACAAACAGGATATACAAGAACTAACCAAAACAAAGGAGACGAAACCTTAATCTAAAAACAAAGGCAACCGGCTATGAAATCTTAAAGGAAATGATAGAAACGAGAAATCAAAGAGACCTCCTCTTCAAAAGCACAAGAGAATGAGATTTATCCAGACTGCCCACGGCCAACTCGAGGATAACATCTACCACCTCCTAACACAATGAGAGCTGATCTCTCAAAACCAATAACCAGTGACTTCAAAACACGGCAAGCAAGACCACTCACTTCCGGAGGCGACGACGACGTTCATACGCCAAAGAACATCAAACTAGAAGTCTTCAAAACGTGAGGAACGAGGCCTAACTCCACAAAAACATCAATCACACAAACAAGATCGACGAATAATCGAGACAGCTAACATCCACAGAGGACAACCACAAGAAGAAGAAACTCGGAGAAGTCCAAATACTACCATTTCAAGCAAATAGAGCGAAACCTCTGCTTAGAACATAACCAAACCCAAAAGATATCACAGGCTGAGACGAGGAGATAGAGGAGATACGGCGTCTAAGAAACAAACACAACCACATGGACGGCAAAAAAATCAAACTGGATCAAACATAAACAGAAAGCTTAAAATTTGAACCCAACCGGTCGATCTAACTGATCCGGAGTCTTCACATTCTCTGTAAACTCTAAACCCAAGTGATTTGTCCGCCCCAAAGATACCACCAAACACACAACATCATCACTTGACTCAAAACCAATGACATCCCAGTCGAAGGCTACTGAAACTACACAAGAGACTACCAAAGACCAACAAGAAACTACCCTTGAAAATAACCAAAAAAAGCAAAATCATCTAACACCCCCTCAAATCGACGAAGAATAAAGACCCAAAAGCTGGCTTACCAAACAACAGAAATGGACTGAGACCATGGCCATGGATTCCACAAAACACCAGATCTCCACAGAGATCCACGTTTCTTCACCAAAATTTACAAGAACAGGAGCACCCGCCAGATCAACAAAATCTCGGACACCCAACACCAACTCTCTCTGGAGAAGCTGACCACTGACAGAACCAATAACCTTCACCGAGGAGATCGGCCATTTCTGCCAAGGTAACCTTTTTCTCCAACGAAATCAAGGGGAAGATGAGTTGCAGAACCAGAAAAAAACTACAGCATAAAAAAAAAAGGGGAAGCCACTCACAGCATCGACGAGGAGCGTCGATCACCCGAGTAACTTCCCAGCCACAGATCTGAAAAAAGCTTAGGGTTTAACTGTTTGAGAGACGAGAGAGAGCGGCGGTGTTCTCCATTTATTCGACTATGTACACACACACTCTATCTTACTTTTTCTTTTTATTCATCCAAATAACAGAAATTAATATAATAACATATGTTCATCAAAAAAATGAATATAATATAATTTTAATCTATAAATATTTTTGTGAATCTAAAAAGACCAATTTTAACATATTTTACAAATGCTCTCATGCGTGACTCCCGAAGTTTTTCTTGGTTCCAATTTTTTTAATCTAGATCTCAGATCTGAGATTTACCTTTTCTTCTCCAATGAAGGTTTGTCATCTCCAACAACCACTTCTTCTAATTCCCCTTTGTCAGGAGGCAGAAGCTAGAGGAAGCCTTTACCACTCTTGTAACTTTTCTGCATTTTGCAGAGCCTCATTCACAATTTCTAGTATTATATTAAGCTCCACGGCAGTTTGCTTTGAATCTTCTCAACTGTTACTCCCAGCTCTTCTAACCATTGCATCTTCTAAGACAGTTGTTAGAATGCAAATCCAACGGTTACGACCAATGTCTTTGCCTTTTAATTGCTGGTATATTTCTTCGAAGTGGAATCTTCGATTTGGGATGAAGCTTTGGTCTCTTCTCCCTCTCCGCCGGTTTAGTTTTTTCCGACGACTTTTTCACACTACCATTCTCACGATTGTGAAGAGATCTGGGAGACCAACATCTCCATGGAAGCCACTTATCACCTCCCTGTTCATCGCTTGGTTTGAGCCGCTGGATATAACTCTTCATCTCTTGGCAACTTTAGAAATGAGACTAATGGCGATTCCCTCTTGTTTGGAAATTAATCTCCTCCAATCCGGAGATCAACCGATCTATACCATTGCGACCATTCTTCTAGAAATCTGCTCAAGTTTCTCTCTTATTGCCCAAGTGATATATTTCAGCGATAAAGAGTTATGGTCCAATATAGTTCTCATTCCACTTTGCTGACTGATGAAGCCGCTCCTCCATTGTCTCTGTTTGCATTGATCTCTTGGGGCGCCGTCAAAGATTCTCTTCCGTTTCTCACCGTCCGTATCTCCGAGATACCTATGGTGGGTCATTTCGTGCTTGGAATTTTGCTGGGCCTAAAGGCCCATGATCTCTTGCACTTGGATACCCACCTGACAAGGCAATGTTTTCGCTCCATCATTTCGACAACCGGTTTTATTTGTGACTTTACCGGTGTATTTTCTCCCCATTCCTCCTTTATGGAGACATTTTCCTCATTTTTTGAGCGATTAAGTATACTGAAATTTCAAGTCAATAATATTGATATGTCAAATAAAATATAAAATAAAAAAAATTCTCAAATTTCAGTTTTAATCCTTCTTAGTGAAGTGCTCCTAAAATCAAAAGATATATTCACTTTTCTTTATGTTAGTACGGTGGGGTTTTACTCTCCCTTCGGAACTAATAAATGAGGACGCTAGCGTGGAACTGTCAAGGGGCGGGAGCCAAGTTAACTCGCCGTCGATTTGTGGAGTTGTGTCGAACATACTCGCCCGGTTTTTTATTCTTATCTGAAACTAAAAATGATAAGGAATATCTGCAAGATGTGCAAGTAGAACTAGGTTTTGATAACCTGAAAATGGTTGAGCCAGATGGGACTAGTGGTGGTTTAGCGCTGTTGTATTCGAATGATTTTCTGGTTAAATGTTTGTTGTTGGATGACCGGTTAATCGATATCGAAACAATTACTGATGGGAAATGGGTCTTTATGACATTTATTTATGGTGATCCTGTTGTTGCAAACCGCGAGTATGTGTGGGAGAAATTGATGCAAATAGGTGTTTCCCGTTCCGAAGCATGGTTTATAATTGGCGATTTCAATGAAATTACAGGAAATCATGAGAAAAGAGGAGGAAAAAAAGACAGAATCCTCATTTCTACCTTTCCGAAATATGATCCATTCTTGTGGGTTAATTTATTTTCCTTACCAAGGTAATCAATTTTCTTGGATTGGCCACCGTAAAAATGGCAAGATTCGGTGCAGGCTTGATAGAGCTATGGGTAATGAAGAGTGGCATCATATTTTTTCCCACACAAATGTGGAGTATCTAAAGATGTGGGGCTCGGATCACCGCCCCCTTTTGGCTTGTATTCAGAATCGAGTTAAAAAATTCTCTCGCAGATTTATGTTCGACAAAAGATGGATCGGTAAACCTGGCATTACTGAAGCGGTAGTGGAGGTTTGGAGCTTCGAAAATTCAACAGAATCCAAACCACTCATGATGCGTATCCAAAACTGTCGACGCCTACTCTCCATATGGAAGAAATCCATTATCACAAACTCGGAACTCCTAATAAAAGAGCTCCAAGACAAGATTAATGAGGCTAATGAGGACGAGAATACATCCACATCAACACTCCTAGAGTTAAAGTGGAGACTATGTGAGGCTTACAAAGAGGAAGAAGCCTATTGGCAACAAAAAATTTGCGAAATCTGGCTAGGGGAAGGGGATAAAAACACTAAATTCTTCCATGCGACAACAAAACAACGGTGTGGCCGTAATAGAATCATCAGTATCCTCGACAAAAATGGGGTGTGTATTGATCACGAAGAAGGCATAGAACGAGTGTCGGTCTAGTATTTTACGACGCTCTTCTCCTCTCATAATGGGTTCGACACTGTAGACGCCCTAAGAGAGGTCCCTTCCTTGGTAATTGATTCGATGAATGAATCTCTCACGAGGGAGGTCTCGGAAGAAGAGGTGAAGAAAGCTATGTTCTCCTTGAATCCTACTAAGACCCCCGGTTCGGATGGCATGACAGCATTATTTTACCAAAAATTCTGGGATGTCACAAAAAAAGATCTCATCCCAATCAGGTATTTTTGATAGCAGGATAAATGAGACCAATATATGTCTAATTCCTAAGGAGGATAAACCAAGGGAGATGACAGGTTTTTGACCAATTAGTCTATGTAATGTAAGCTACAAGATCATTTCCAAGATCCTGAGCCTTCGTCTTAAGAGGTTCCTGCCAGAGTTAATCTTTGAGACTCAATCTGCCTTTGTGGCAGGGCGGGTAATTACAGATAATGTTCTCATCGCCCAGGAAAATTTCCATGCACTCTGGTCCAACCCAGCTAATGAGGAGAAATTTATGGCAATCAAAACAGATATGAGCAAAGCGTATGACAGAGTTGAATGGAAATTTCTTAGTGATCTGATGGAGAAATTGGGCTTCAGTCACCGTTGGATTGGTTGGATCATGCAGTGCGTCACCTCAGTGTCATACCGTATTATACTTAATGGCGAACCTCGAGGAAGAATTAGACCAAAGCGGGGTATCCATCAAGGAGACCCTATCTCTCCGTACTTATTTATCTTATGTACAGAAGCTCTTATTGCGCAATTCAAGCACGCAGAAAGACTAGGTACGATACAAGTTCTTCATGTGGCGTGTGCCAGTCCAAGAGTATCCCATCTCCTTTTTACGGATGATAGTTTATTTTTCTACAAGGCCGATGCTCTCCAAAGCCGCGCAGTGATCGATATGATCCGGCTTTATGGCCATGCTCAGGACAAGAAATTAACCTAGCTAATTCATCCATCATGTTTGGAACAAAGGTAGCCGCCTCTACTCGAGATGAAATTAAAACGATATTGGGTATCGCGCAAGAAGGAGGAACGGGAACTTACTTGGGCCTCCCTGAAAAAATCCATGGATCCAAGACTCAGGTTTTCGCCTTCGTTAGAGACAGGCTGAATAGTAGAATTAACTCTTGGTCTGCTAAATAACTATCGAAGGGTGGTAAGGAATTCCTTCTCAAATCCCAAGCCCAAGCACTTCCGACGTATGTAATGTCGTGCTTCCTAATACCAAAAGCCATTTGTACTAAGTTAAATAGTGCAATGGCGCATTTTTGGTGGAGTAATAAAGCAGATAGTAGGGGTATCCATTGGATTTCATGGGACCAAATCTGCTCTCGCTTCTCAGATGGAGGCCTTGGCTTCCGAGTTCTAGAAGATTTTAATCTTGCACTATTAGTAAAGCAATTGTGGAGACTACTTCGTTTTCCAGACTCTCTCCTTAGTAGGGTCCTCAAGGGGCGCTATTTCCGCTATAGTAGCCCCTTGGAAATCTCGACGTCAAACCGGCCATCCTATGGGTGGAGAAGCCTGCTTGCATCAAAAGAGGTTCTAAAGTTTGGAATTAGGAAAACCATTGGCTCTTGATTTGACGCTTATGTGTGGACGGATCCTTGGATCCCGGATTCTCCACCGCGGCCTCCCATTGGCCTCTTCGCTAGTCGGGATCCTTTGGTTAGTGTTAGCACGTTAATTGACCCTGGGACTAGATCTTGGATACATGGGGTACTCCGAGAGCTCTTTCCCCCGAATGAAATTACCTTAATAATGGGGATCAAACCAAGCTCGACTAGATCTCGCGATGGTTATAGTTGGACCTTAACCAAGTCCGGGAACTATTCAGTCAAATCGGGTTACCAAGCCGCGAGAGCTCTCTCTCGCCCAGCTAGCGACCTCCCTTCTCAGGGACCCAGTGTTACCGCACTCAAGGCCCAAGCTTGGAACTTAAAAACCACCCGGAAGTTAAAACATCTGGTGTGGCAATGCATGGCCGGTTGTTTAGCAACATGCCAGAGATTACATTATCGCCATATCGGTAGAGATAAAGAATGCCCTTGTTGTGGGGTGGAGGAAGAGACTATTAATCACCTATTTTTTGAATGCCCTCCTACTCGTCAAGTATGGGCTCTCTCGCCTATCCCCTCGGCACTCCAAATTTCTCCACTAACTTCCTTGTATAGTAATTTGGATTATCTTTTCTGGAGAGGGAAGGCGAGAGGTGTTTCAGATGAAAGCCTGTAAATCTTTCCATGGATTTTGTGGTTCATCTGGAAAGAACGAAATAAGAAACTCTTAGAAAATATGTTTGAATCCCCACAAGATATAGTGGATAAGGCAATTCTTGAAGAAGCGCTTTGGAGGAAAGCCAATACTAAGGACGATCCACCGAATAAGGGTGAGGCATGTGAAAAAATAGTATCCCTACCGAGGGATGAGCTGGTTTGCTATATTGATGGCTTGTGGGTGGAGCAGGATAGTAGAAGTGGGTTTGGGTGGGTGCTCTCGATAGACGAACAAACCCTTCTACTTGGGTTGAAGTGCTCACCAAGGAGCCTCTCCCCTCTCCATGCGGAACTAGACACTTTGATTTGGACTATGCAGTGTTTAGTAGCGCAGGTGTTCACCAAGATCATTATTGCGACCGATTGCCAAGATTTGGTCACTATGCTAGCTCACGGAGATGATTGGCCGGCGTTTGCCTCAGAGATTTGAGAATTTACTCTTTTTCGCGAATATTTTACTGTATTTAATATTAGGTATATTTCTAGAGCGTTCAACGTCCGCGCCAATAAACTTGAAAAATGCGCAAGGGCTCGAGGTTTCTGTTTTTCCCATGTAGGTCAATCGGCTCTTGTTTGGCTCTCGCTCGAAGAGATTCAATTCCGATAGACTAGTGTATGGGGTTTGAAAAAAAAAAACATATTTTACAAATTCTTAACATTAATTTTCGTCATATCTCAATGTATTTATACACCCACTTTCGTGTTCGTACTCCCCGATACGTGTTCGTATATTCTTATGCGTGTTCGTATTCTCTGATTTCTGTTTGTACTCTTTGATTCGTGTTTGTTTAACCCAAAATATTTGTAACATATGAGTGAATAATCTCTTCTTTATGTTTGTACTCTTTTTTGTAGTGTTCGTATTACATGGTAGGTGTTCATAATTTTGTTAAATTTGTATGTACTCCATATTTTGTGTTTGTATTCTATATGTTGTGTTCATACAAATTTGTAAAATATAATAAAATTATTGTCATTAGATTTGTAAAAAAATTAAAGACTAATTTGAAAATATTAAAAATATAAAAAAACAATTTTAAAAATCTAGGGGGAAAAAGTATGGTAAAAAAAAAGAAAATAAAAAATATAATATAACTTTTACACTCTTTCTCACTCACTCACTCTTTCTCCTATTTTAAATAGTAACCGATCTAAAAACATAATAAAGTTCTCAAAACTGTCTAATATTCGATGACAAAAAAAAAACTAGTCTAATGTCTAATATTCCAATTATCCAAAAAAAAAAAATGGAGTTGTCGGTATCAATGGTGTTAATGAGCTAACAGAACATTTGGCTGAAAAAAAAAAAATCATGAGCTAACAGAACAAAGCTATTTGTCCTTTTTGCATAACAGGAGCACACATGACTACAAGGTCAGTTTGCTAAAGAAAAAGAAGCAAAGTATATGTTACAAAGTGTGCAAAGAAGAAGCCATTGGGACAGAGTCTTAACACAGACCATGTGACTAAAACTCTAATTGGTCGAGGGATTGGGAGTACATCTGGAAGTTCTGCTATTTCTGGAAGCAAAAAATAAAGAGGCAATGTCGTGATACCATTGAACTATGCTGCTCTTCAGCGGAAAGGTTCTTTAAGGAGTGCTTTGGGTGAGGGTTGAAACATTTCACATCTCCTTATTCTTAGGCAGGTTATTGGGTCCGATAGCCGCGTTCTCAATCTTCCGCATCACCAATAAACTATCCTCAAGCACTCTCTGTACATCAAAAGAAGAATTTGCAATGAGTCAAAACAACACTACTACAGATTATAAGCACAGGAGTTCATGACTTGATGGCTCTTCCTCAACTATATATGGCATTAAATTTTTTTCTTTTATGTTTGACGATCGCAGTCATAACCACAAATGGAGAACTAAGAGTTTGATGGAAGAAAATTAAAAAGCTTAATGTGTATGTGAAGAGACGACATACCCCTAACCCTAAGACAACATGCTTATTGTCAAGCCAGTTGCAGCTTAGCATTAATATAGCCAAAACGTAAAGCATCCAACGCTTGGATAATCCACAGTTTTGTTTCACTTTGTCTCATATCACAAAACAAATAGGAATATTATAATGAAACTGAAATTACCTAACACCCATTTGTGTTTGGTCTACTGTTTTCCTACAACAAAAGAATGAGAGCCATGATATTAGCAACCAAAGCTGTGAGTAATACATCAAATTCGAAGTTCGACTCATGAATAACGAAAACTGCTCGAGGTGAACTGATTCAATAAATCAGTTAACACACATCCACTACCATCATTTTGCAGAGTTTTAACATATGTATTAAGTATCAAGAATGGAGAGATACAGTAACGGCCCAAGAGACGCAAACAAGATTGATAAAATAAAAGACAGTGCCAACTGAGAACCTAACATATGTACTCAAAGAAGTGAGGAATTATAAGTACAACGAGATTAAGCAACACAAAACCATTTTTAACTGCGCTTAAGCTAGCAAGGTTCAAGAAATATGCATAAACAAATACTTAAATCTAGTATGAATCATGAAAGAAGCAGCAACTACACACTTTTCTGAATCTAAAAACCTCTAAAACCTCATGAATCTCTTGAAGGAGAACACCAAATTCGAAATCTTAAAATCATAAACGTGGTGGCTGCAACTGCAATAAATCAAACTGTCTGAAAATATACTACGAATGCTATATTTTAACAAAAAAAAAAATACTACGAATGCTATTAGGTTTTTACCTTTCTACCATCGATGTACTTACAGTGGATCTATGCTGTTAACTTCCTTTTGTCTGATTCCAATATGTTAAGGATGTAAGAATGCATTTGGTTGTTTAGCTTCTCTGCTTCGCAGGTTTCATTACTACGGACCATAAGTTCTCTTACCGGTTCAGATTCTATTTAATGTATGTATATCTCTAGACAAAAAAAAAAAGTATATGATTTTTCTAAGACAAGGAAACAAGGGTATAATTGTCATTTCACAGAGCATGATATTTTCTACATAAATCAATTTTTGTGGTTAACGGCTCTTCTCAAAAGTCCCAAATAATGTAAATAATTTCTCCAAGACTTCGATCACCCATAACTTCTTCTTTGATACTCTTCAAATCTAATGGCACATGTCTCTGCAAGACTTAAGCTTCTCTCAAGCAACGATGCATTATCCTTTGGTATAGATTCAAGAGACCAATTTAGGCAGAGCCTTTACATGGTCGGTGGTGGTGGATCTCCCTTGGTTCCGTTGCAGCATAGGAGCCGATCAAAGTTTTGTGCAAGACTCTTCTCTTCTTACTCTTTTCCTTATAAAAGAAAGAAGATTAGAGATTTCGATAACTCCGAGAAAAATCTTGGTATTGACGAAGAAGACAACGATGAGTGGGATTTTGATGGAGATGATGATGGTTGTTTAGAAACTAATGATCTATCTTGCTTCAGAGGCTTGGTTCTTGATATTTCATACAGGTCAAGATCTTCTTTATTATTATTATAGTTTAGTTTAGTTACTGATTAGTGTCTTATTATTATTTTCGTTCATTACTCATAGAATATATTTATATACTACCTTCTTTTTGAATTAGTTGTCGTTTAAGGATTTTCCACACAAATTAAGGAAAAAAATAAAGTTTCTATTTCATATTTTTTTGATATATTTTCTAATTTTTTTAACTGGTCAAAGCATTTTATAAAAGTGAATAAAATTAAATTTTTTCAAAAATTTGTATTGGAAATCTAAAACGACAACTATCTATGAAGCAAAAATTTAACTATATAACGACAAATCATTAGAAACGGAAGGAGTATATGGCAAAAAGAGCACTAATTGATACAATTATAATATTTTGAATAATTTATTAGAATTTTTTTTTTAAGGTTTAGGTTGACTATTTTACATTTAGGATAAAGTTTTTATGGGGTAATATTTATTGTTTAGAGTTTAGGATTTAATTTTAAAATTTTAGTTTTTATATATAGCGGTAATTTTGAAAAATAGGAGTGTTATAAGTATGCAAATTGCACTTTAATTATTTAGTTATTGATGATAGAAAGCATTAGTTATCTCTTTTTATTCAAGTTCATGCAAATCTGAGTTTAGCTGCTTCTAAAAATTTGGTAGGATTGTGACATTGGCCTGAACTAATCAGTTTTCTTGTTTTATGTTATTACTTAAAGACCGGTCAATGTGGTTTGCTGGAAGCGAGCAATCTGTCTCGAGTACATGGATAAGGTCAGACCAAACTTTGTAAAGTAATCTTAATACTTATTTGATGCATAAGAATCCTTAATCCAGGTTTTGTATATTCGATACTGTCTTGTCTAGGCTGATGTTCTGGAGTATTATGATCAGACTGTTAGTTCTCCTACTGGTTCATTCTATATACCTGCTGTATTAAGGGTATGTAGAACATGAGTTTAGTTTTAGCTAGTTTTAATCTCTTTTTTACCACTTTGAAGCTTACTTCATTGTCTTGCTTCAGGTTCCACATTTGCTTCAGGTTGTCAAAAGAAGAAGAGTGAAAAACACACTTAGCCGTAAAAGCATTTTACTGAGAGACGATTATACTTGTCAGTAAGTGATCTTTTATGTCCAGTCACAAGCTGATTTCACATTTTTGTTTGCTTAATCGAACTATTCTTGCTGAATGAACTTTTGTTTGGGGTATAGGTATTGTTCTTCCCGTGAAAACTTGACCATTGATCATGTTATACCAATTTCTCGAGGTGGAGAATGGACTTGGCAAAATCTGGTATGTGGTTGACACTAAAGTAGTACCTTTGCCTGAAAAAAAACCGGAACCTGAACCTATCTGAAAAACTCGACCGGAATCTGAATCATAAATTTTAGATTTACCCTATTGGATCCTAACTTCCTAAACCCGAAAATTCAAAACCAAACCCGAACCCGAGAAAACCCGAAATATAAATACATATAAGTAACTGAGGACCCGAATACCCGATTATTTACTTGAAATACCCCAATTATACCCGGAATTTCAAAATTTTATCCAAAATTTTTTGGGTAATCCGGTAAAATTTTGGGTATTTGTGTACCCAAAAAATATAGAATTTTTAGCGGTTCCGACCCAAACTCAAAAGGATCTGAACCAAACCCAAACCAAATTTTTAGATTTAGCGTATTGGGTCCTAAACTCCTCTACTCAAGAAACACAAACCCGAACGGTTCCTACCGACCCGCATACCCGAATACCTAGGGCTAGTAGTACCATTTCATACTAAAAATCAGTAAAAATAAAATAAAATAAAATTTTGCTTATGTAACATCATAGGTAACAGCATGTTCAAGGTGCAACTCAAAGAAAGGTCAGAAGACAGTAGAGGAAGCACACATGAAGTTATACAAGGTCCCTAAGGTATTTTCTAATAACTGCAACTGGTTTAACTAACAAGTCCATAAATCACAAAACTTTGTTTTGATGGGTAACTAGTAAATCAAGACATTTTGTTGCTAATGGCAGGAACCAAAAGACTATGACATTGTTGCAATACCATTAACAAATGCAGCTATAAGGATGCTGAGATCGAATAAGGGAATGCCAGATGAATGGCGTCAGTATCTAGCGAAACCTTTATCCGAGCCGTAGCAGTTTCTCTAAGGAAGCTATGAGCAAAAGGGGTGAGAGAGTCCAAGGCATCTCGTAAATATAGAACAGTGGCTCGATCGCATATGTAGATTCATCTATTAACTTCAAATTTGTTCACAGTTTGTGGTGGACTTGTTTGAAGATGGACAAAAATGTATATAACACGTAAATAATGTCAAACATAAACTAACACAATCATAATTTGAACTCAGAATTCACGTAAATATGATCTGGCACCCTAATTAACCTCTTTGTGTCTCTACTACGGGAACCAAACTAATCGAACCATCTCATAAGTTGCAAGAAGTGCTCAATGGATTGGATGTAAATAACGAAATCTTCACAATTTGATTAAGCAACATTGTCTTAACACAAACAAAAGAAAAAACACATCAAAACTTTCTTGTTTTCTGAGCACTACTTGACATTGTCGTTTTCGTAAGCAGCAAAAGCCAAGAATCAAACATTATGCACACCTTTGAGAGAGATACCTGTGTTGATCATCTTCATTGTCATGCCAAATTCCCAAAAGAATATAAGAGAACTAAGAGGAGAGGATGGACTGTAGTGCAAGCTGTTGCTGTGGTTGCAGAGATGACCATGTAGATGCGAGTGCTGCTGGAGACAATGTCTGTTGAAGCTGTCTTAAGATATTTACCATCCTGCTCACTGTTTGCTCTGTTGCCAGGGTACCGCCTGCGCATAAGACCTACAAACACCAGAATATTTACAAACAAACATAAAACCAGACATAAGGTCTTGCAATTTGGTGCAGAGTGTAGTATATACCTCAGCAAAAACTGCAACTATTTTTGGAAGGTACTGATGATTAGGCCCTAATAGATCCGGGTCAGATCTGCAGAGAATCGAGGTTTCAGTAACAACCACAAAGCAGTAACACAAATAAACATATATTTTTACCTCTCCACCATTGAGCAAAGCTGGTCATGGACAATTTTAGCCTCAATTGTATCCCCTTTTATTGGCAAGCAGTTTAACCATGCAGGAACAATCTGGTAAGAGTGACAAACTTCTCGTCAACAACTATGCTTAATGATATGATGTTACACTTATGTAAATTAATCTCCAGGCAAAAAATTGCAAACACCCATCATAAGTGGACAAGATTTGATAGAAAAGAAACATTAGATATCACTGTGAAGAAGAATGTAGATACAGAAAGTCTAGATATATTTACCCTTCCAGCATCAATAGTGCCTCGGTGGAACTGACATATTTTTCCAAGAGCAGAAACAGCATTGTCATAGGCCATGGCGTTCTCAGACTGCTGAGCATTAGGATGCCTAATGACAACATCCAATTTGGAGAGTGCCTCTACAGAGAAACATGATATACATTAACACCAATGCAACAAGAACCTCATAGACATGGAGAAATGAAAGTATGTATGAAGCTACCTCCGACAAGAGGTCCGAAAACAGATCCGCCAAACTCAGCACAAACTCCAATACCATACACAGCAGCCTGAATTGTGGGAAAAAACTAAATGATCCCAACAAACTCAGTTAAACTAAACGAAGGTAGTAGCTTTTTTATAGGACATACCTGCCGAACATCAGCATTCTCGTCATTGCATGCTTCCAAAAGAAAAGGGACAAATGGATCATAGTATCTGCATAGCAATTTATATACCAGACCGATGATGAGAAATCAAATAGTCAGAGAAGATCAAGGAAAAAGATAAGAGAATAACATACTTAAGGGCTGCTTCACGACAATGCTCAGCAACATCATCAAATATACATATAGCTATTCTTCTCTCCTCTGCTGTTCTATCACTACCCTGCATAGAACAAACCATAGACATTCACAATCACAGTTAGTGAACAAATTAAACCAATCGTTCTTAACTAATCATCTGTTTTTAGAAATATAACGTCCAGAGAACATAAAGAAAAGAACTTACCAACATAGGAGTTATGTAAGATGTAAGCTCATCAAACATGGGCAGGAAAGAGGTCTTGAATGTTTTTATCAACGTACCCAGTAAATCACCAATCTTCACAAAAAGGGAGACAGAGATATATCAGTATATCCTGGCATCCTCGGTAAGAGTTGATGCGTTAGCAACACAAACAATAGAGATCATACCTGATCAAAAACTTCTTCCTCTTGTTCATTTTCTTCTTTTAGGATCTCACTTTCTTCTGCATCAAAGTCCTCTGCCTTAGCTCTCTCTTCTCTTTCCGTCCGTCTGGTTGAGCTAGCTATTACTGCCTGCTTTGTCTCATCTACAATGCCCCTCACCTGGCTTTCATCTAGAATTGGTCCAGAAATCTGAAAAAGAAAAAGTACTAGGTTATAATTATATAAATTCTAAAGAGGCTAACATACAATGGAAAAAATTTACTTTCCAAGACTTTATCTATTGAGTGAAGAGAAAAAGATAAGAAGGCAATGAATATACTGTATTTGGAATAAATTTGGCACCCTTCGAAAAAATAAGCAAAGCTGTTATTCTTTTCCACCCTATATACAATAATGCCCTCACATACGTTGGAAGAACTAATTGAACTGATTGCCTATCAAAACATTTTGGGTGAGAAACTACAAACCTGTATACACTCGTTCAATGCCTCTAGCATGCTTGCACAAATCTCCACTTCAGGCTCCTTTAGTTTATTGGTTAAGTTGAAGAAATATCAACAAGTATAATTAATAGGTTATTCTTCATATGAAAACTAAAAGTGAAGGCATCAATTTTTTAAGCCAAAACACAAAATGTAAAGCCAATTTAACCTTGTGCAAGGCCTCCAACAACGCTGGTATTATATAATCACTCAAGTGCTTTATATAGGATTCATTACGACCCTGAGATTTCCCTTTCTCCACAGCAAGTTTAGCTGAACGTAACAGCTCCGGCATACCTAACCCCAAAAAAAAAAAAAGATAATGTGACTGAAGCCCTCATTGTAGAAACACAGAGAAGGAACAATTGAAACCCAAGAAAACATAGACATTATAGATACTCGAAGATCACACCTGATACAGCAGCCTTCCTAACTTCTTCATGGAAATAAAACTTGAGAAGAGGAACTAAAATAGGAGCAACCTGTTTTCCCATAACAATATTAAAACCTTGGAAGCCAATTAAACCTAGCACTCTGAAAGTTAGTAACAATAAAGGGGCAATACCTGATCAATCCAAGGGAAGAACCCTTCTTTTAGCTCCTCTGCATAGCAGCACAACATGTTACAGGCCGTAGCTTTCTCCTCTAACACGCTAGTTTTGATCCCTATCCTCTTGTCACCAAGAGTGATGGTCTCAATGCTGGATTAGAAAGTAAAACCACATGAAAGTGAACAGCACAAACAATTATAACTTATAATTAATTACCAATTATATCAGCTAAATGAATGGAATGGATACTTATAACCTTATTAATAATTTTAGTTCTGCAACGTTTTCCACAACATATACATATCCTTGAGGTATATAATAGGAAAATATTCCATACACAGTACTGGGATATGTAATACCTATCATCTTCGTCATCAATATCTTCATCTGAATCTGCAGATGAAATGATAACATCGGGTTTAAGCTGAGCTGATTGAAGCAAAGGGGGCATAACAACAGTCATGTAAGGGATAAAATCTTGTCCAAGGCACTTGCAGAGTCTGGCCCAAGCCTGCATATATATAAATTATCGATTAGAAAAAACTTTCAATTACGTTCCCACTAAGCTTCCAATGAAAGAAGAAAAAAAAGACATTCTTGAAGTTCAAAAACTTGCCTGCAACATGTAGCTTGTTGTTGGATCGTCCGCTTCCAGTTGCGAACCTTGTAAAGACATAAGCACATCCATGACCTTTCTACAACAAAATCAACATTAAGGCTACTATTTAATTGGGTCATTACTTCCCACACTAGAAAGATAATATTGATTTAGGAAGACTTGACAAGGTATTTCCTTTTAATTAGATTGTATTTATTTAAGAAGTTAAAGTAGAGATCTAAAACACCATTTGGCCAAAGCAGTCAAAGCACCCTCTTACCTGTTTTGCATCGTCCTTAAATTTTTCCTTTCCAACCGCCATTCCAACCAAACTAATGCACTCCATGGACTTAGCACGAAGCATACGATTAGCTTTGTCATTTGCATTTACCAAAATAGCTTTCAAGTAAGGCATAACAGCATCATAGTACTCTTGGAATAGCTCCTGTTATAAAAAAAAGTTAGTTCATTGACTAACAAATAATATTATTTTAAAAAAACGGACTTATGGCAGGAGCTTATAAGCACCTGTGAAGAATCAGCAACCGACGCCAAAGCAGTCAAAGCACCCTCTTGCACCATTTGTTTTTCATTCTGCATTATACCCACATATATAAGGTAAGAAAGCTACGTACAAATCCTCATCTACTAAAAATCTGCACTTAATTACTGTGAGATTGCCCAGTGATGAATCTGGATAATAAATATACTATTTTGATGGTTAATAAATATGCAAAATACTTCTCAGTGTTATGAAAATTGTGAGAGAGTGATAGTCTTCAAAAATGTAAGATGGAATCCTGGCAAGGTTAAACAAACTCGAACATGCACTAACCCTTTTTTACTAGCCTACCAGCATGACCCCTTATTAGGTTTCAGTTATTTACTAACTTCCAAAAAGTAGTGTTTATTTGAGACGAATGTTTAGCAATTCTGTTCAGGGAAATTCATCAAAGACAAAGAAACACTAATTAATTATGTGAGCATGTTGTACCTGAAGGAGTACAAGAAGCTTGCTAATAACTCCATCCAGATAAGGGGTTAAAATTTCTGGCGTGCAATTCTCACTGAAGTTAAGAACAGCGGAAGCAGCATGGGCCTGTACCACGAAAGAGATACCTCATTACACAAAAGCCAAGCTAAAGGATAAGAACATCTCATCAATAAGCAGAATGAAAAATTAAATCAACGAGACTATCCTACTTCAAATGTTTTTTAAAAAAAATTGTCAGCTTCTACTTCTCAGTCTTGGTGATAGATCTAATTCATAAGTTAAAAAAAAAAAAAAAAGGCAGGTCAATAAGAATCTAAAACTTCCAGTGCCGGAAAAATATTTCTCTTGTTCGTTTTTTAAACATCATTCCACTTTTATTTCTAAGTCTGGGAAAGTGGTATGGAATTATGTGAGACTTTTCAACAACTAAAAGCCCTATTAAATGCCTAAAAGAGCACTAGCTTTACATGAGGAATACATCCGCCTGCTACATAGTACTAGTTTTAGTTAACCAGAGACAATACATAGTGATGAGTCACATTTTCACTCACAGAATGCAAAAGCAGCAATTTACAAACCAACCTGGACTCGAGGGTTCTGAAAGTCGTCCATGGCTCCAACAAGTGCAGGCAGCACAGACTGGTTATATTTACTTTGTAACTCAGGTCCTAAATCTGTAGACAACTGTCCAATTGCATTGATTGCTGCCCATCGGACACGGGGATGAGGATGCTGAAAAGAGTTCAAAACCATAGAAACCACCTGTTCCATGTTTTTTATCATAACCTACACCAATACCAAGATAATATCAGAGAAGAAAACATGAAAAATTTAAGTCGTTTTCTACATATGAGAGAAATAATAACCACCAGTCAGGTATGAACATAGATGTGCATCAGCGATGAACACGTTAAAAGTAGTGACATTTAAAAATGGGTAAGTCATAGAAGAAAAGACTCTCCATCAACAACTTAAACAGTCGTCTAGACAGGAACATTTTGTTAATACCATACACTAGAAACGAAAGGCTAGATGTAAGTGAAACATTCTGATTTGACACATGTGGAAGTAGAAGGTAGTCGAGGATAAAACAGCTTATACTTATTACTAAATCTAACAGCCCCTGATATAAACCTTGTAACTTTAACTAGTTCTCTCTTTCCAACTGTCCACTTGTTTCTCCTGATGAATTTAACTCAAATCAACAATGACAACTTTACCAGATACCATTAAAATTTATCCTCTACTAAGTCATTTTGAATCACCTAGACATCTAAACCAGAATAAAAACAACCCTCACCTTTGAGCAGCCTTCAGCAATTTGGGCAAGAGCAATGAGAACAGCATGGTGCTTCTCCCACTCAGAAGCTGCGAAGAAACCCGAGAAAACTTCAGAGGCAACAGGAACAATTGTATTACCACCCAAAGATATCGCAAGCCTGTCCAAACATTCTTGTCCAAACCCATAATTACTCGTCTCTCCAGCATCTTCATCCTCATTCTCAGCACTGTGCCATGCCGGGTCATCCTCAATATCCAAAAGCATGTTCATCAACACGCTAAAGAGTTTGCTAATGAACTGTGGCAATTTCCTAATCATACCCGGAGCTCTTTCTCGTGCCTCAGCCAATGTAATCACAAATTCTATTGCCAAGTGCCTAGTTCCTTCTTCTAAACTCTCAGCTTCCGCAATCTGAAGCATCGAACCAACAATTTCCACAATCTGTCTCCTCAGAAACCTCGGTTCAGTACCAGCCAATTCAATAAGAAGCTCCAGAGCTTCTTGTGCTGTTGCTTCTTGCCCAGAATTCAATGCCTCAGTCAAAGTTTGCATCATCAACGGCAACAAATCCTGAAAAATTTCCCTATCCGAAGCCTTCGACAAACACTGAATAAAATTAATAGCAGCACCCAAAGCCGTAATTCTAACATCAGCAGATGTGGAGTTTCTCAGAGACTGAGAAAACACTGAATGCAAAGTACTCAAATGCGGAATCAGCGTTTCACCTATGTACTGAGCCAATCTAGAGAAAATCAACAAAGCATACTCCTGAAGATTCGGATTATCACCAGCAACAACGCACTGGAACATAAACGGAAGTAACTCCGGCCAACCATTCTCCGGTAAAATCGCAGATGCAAGTTCAGAGATAGTATCACAAACCTTCTTAGCTATAGATTTAGTACTCTCCTGTTGAAGAGACGCAAGGAGAACAGATTTAATACTCAAACGAGTAGACTCAGCAATACGAGTGTAGATAAAAGCGGAACCGTCGTCGTCATCTCCAGCACGAGTGAGTTGTTTCCGTAGCAAAACAGCGGACATAGCACGAAGCTCGAGATTGGGAGATGAATTGAGAGATTGAACGAGTTTCAAAGCGAGTGAATCGGGGTGAGTTTGTTTGCAGAGGTTGAAGAGTGATTCGGCGTGGGAACGTTGTTCGTTTGAGGAAGACATGAGGTGAGAAATTAGGGTTTCGAAGTGGGATGAATCTGGGCCGAGGATGTAAGAGAGTTGAATCTGGGTTTGTTGATCGACCGCCATGGTTGTGGTTTGTGGAGGAGGAGGAGAAACAATGGCTGCGGGGGTTTTGGGGGAGAAGAAGATTGAATGGTGTTGGAGAGAGAGAGAGAGAGGCAGAGAAGCGAAAGCAAAGGGTTTTTGTTTTAGTGGGTGGGTAGGGGCAAGAAAGAGAATATTACGACTTACGAGGGGTTTTTTGTCTTCTCTAGGGTGATTTACCCTATGTGTCAAAAAAATTACACCTTGTCCTAATAAAGTAAAACGCATCTTCCGCTGATGTTATGTTTTTAGTTATGAAATAACTTTAGGTACCCAGCACAGTTGCAATTTGGGAAAATTCCTAAAAAAAACATGAACTAATTAATATATGCCAGAAAAAAACACGTACTTTTTCGGTTGCCAGAAACAAATACAGAGTAATTTCTAGTGTTCAAAATATACATGAACTCACTCGATTTTCCGATTTTCCACTGTCCGTTAATTTGGTTGTTACCATCGTTAACGAAAGTTTAAACTCTGTTAACTGTGTTAATTAAAAGACAATTATACCCACCCTAATCCTTTTCTTTCTTAAGCTCTATCGTTTCATTTATCCCCAAAATCAAAATCGAAAAACGTAGTGTTAGGGTTCTATCCCGATTTGGGGCTTTTCAATTCTGGCAATGTTATAGTCTGAATCGAGTTGGATAAGAGCATTGGAGAAGATGAGGTATGTGTTTCAATATGCGATTATGATTTTTATTCAAAGTAGGAATGTGAAATCGAGTTGAGAAATCAAACTGGGTAGGCCTAATCGTTTCAAAATCATTTTTGTAATCGATTTAAGTTCCATAATGAGTCTGAATCGAGTTGGGTTTCGAAATCGAGTATGAATCGAGTCAGGGGTGGTATTTTGTTGTTTTTGTCATTTTTGGGAATCGACTAACCACAATTTTTCCTCTTAATACAGTGGCGTTATGAAAGTAAAGATGCATTATGGTGGATATGGTTCTGTAAAAGAAGATTTGTTCAATTACATAGGAGGGTTAGTGAAGGAAGACATGACCATGGATCCTGATTATGCAACATGGTCCCTCTTTGACGAGTTTTGTGAAGAAAATGGGATGTCTGGGGTAGTTGAGAAGGTATGGTATAAGCTTCGAGATGAAGAGATTGGTTTAGCAAGGCTAATCTATGACGACAAAGATGCCCAGATTAGGCAGATGTGTCGGGAAGCAATGACAAAAACTGGTGATATTGACATTTACATTCATCAAATGGGTTGTGGGGAACATCATGAATCTGATGGTGAGGAACCAGTTGAGACGGGAGCTGAGGATAAAGGTGTTGAAGACAAGGGTGAAGATCCGGTTGAAGAAGTAGGTAATGATGACCCTAGATTTGAAGCTTTATATAATGAAATCCACACAAGTCAGAGGGATGAAACTGAGGGACAATGTGCTGTTGATGGTGGTGAACGAAATGTAAATGAGGGTGAAGCTGCTGTTGATGAGGAAGAATTAGAAAGACAATGTGTTGATGATGAGCATCCTAATCCTGCACTTGATACAGATGATGAATGGGAAGAATTCAATCGTGATCCAGATGAGTAAGTGCTTTTGTTTAATAGGAGGTGTATTTGATATGAATATGAGTTAACTCTACTATTATTGTTGCAGCTATGTGGATAAACACTTCTTGACCAGTTGGTGGCAAGACAATTACTCAGAAAATATTAAACCTGTGAGAGGTGAAAGGATGTGGAAAGCACAAGACAAAGGACCCATTGAGGTGCCTGAAAAAAGGAAGCAAAGAGGAAGGCCAAAGAAGTATGCTAGGATAAAAGAGGCTCATGAGTCATCGACAAATCCAAACAAGGTAACAAGGGATGGAAGAACCATGACATGCTCCAATTGCAAAGGAGCTGGACATAATAAAAGTACTTGTAATAAACCCGTTGCTCCTTCATATCTTCCAAGAAAGAGGGGCAGACCAAGGAAAACTCCGGTAAGTATCCTAACTTTGGTGTTTTGTTGAGTTTTTTTGCAAGTTTTGTTGTATGAGCTGTGTTAAGATTTAATGATTTTGTTTTTTATAGATTGATAATCATGATCCATGGAGTATACAAAATGCACCTAGACGGCTAAGGACAGTTCAAAGCCAAACCATACCATCTGTTCCTCTAAGCCAATCTACACCAATTGATCCTAGTCCATCAACAGCTCCACCTACTAACACCGAAGCTTCTACTACTGGAAAAAAACGTCGCGGTCGTCCTCCAGGCAGCCGAGGAAGAGGTCGTGGCAAAGGGCTTGGCCGTGGGTCAGATGCACCAAAACCTCCTATTTTCTTCATGTCACCTTGGACTAATACTGTTTTTGATGCGTGGCGCCCTCAAGACCCTTAGGCATTACTATGTTTTATTTTGTAACAAGAATCTTAGGGATTAAGTTATGTTATTTTGTTACTGGATACTCCTACCACTTATGATGCTATTTTGGTATGTTTTGAATATTGGTTAAGTACTTATGATTATAACATTATCTTCAGACAAAAACCATAACAACTAACATCACACAATCAAACACCAGACCTACTAACATCACATAAACAAAGATCATAACTACTTTGATTTTAGGGAAAAATGAATCGATAAAAATTAAGAAAGCAAAGGATTAGCGTGGGTATAATCGTCTTTTAATTAACACATTTAACAGAGTTTACGCTTTCATTAACGCTGGTAACATCCAGATTAACGGACAGTGGGAAATTGGAAAATCGAGTGAGTTCATGTATATTTTGAACACTAGAAATTACTCTGTGTTTGTTTCTGGCAACCGAAAAAGTATGTGTTTTTTTCTGGCAGATATTAATTAGTTCATGTTTTTTTGGGAATTTTCCCGTTACAATTTAATATTATAATAAAACATGTTAGTGACTATTAGTTGTTTCAAAAAATGGTTGAAGAATGACGATGACGTAGGTATAGTTCAAATGTGTTGATAGAAAAATTCTTTTTCTTTTTTTCATTTTCCTTAGTTTTTTTTTATAATCAATTTTATGTCTTATCAAGAAAATAGTTTTTATTTATTTTTGTACAATACATGGTAATTGTATTTTTCTATATAATGAGATCCATTTTGCTATGTTTAAAGTGCAAATTATATTGTCCATATGGAGAGTACAACATGGACACCATAAAATTTGTGAAACTAACGTGAATTTTTGAGAAAATAGATTATTGAAAGTGGATATTTGAAAATGGACACATGTGATCAAAATGTTTAGAAGATGGTGGATAGTTGAAAATATCCAAACACACACTCTCTCTTATTATTGTTGTCCATGAAATCTTGTCCACCCGATATACTAAACATGAGAAGATTACTTCATGTTTAAAAGCTTTACTATATCCCCAAATCAAATTTCGACATTATCATGGTTATCCATGAACTCTTTTCCATCGTTACATTATTCAAGCAAGTGACATGTTAGGGAAAATTCAAGTTTTGAACAAAAGTATTAAGCTCAAGGTCCATTAGACAATATCCACAAAAACTGCATATATTGGACAATATCCATAAAACTGCACTCTTTTCTCTAAATGTGGTCATGAAACCTTTGTTTATGAAGTATAAGATGCATGTTGGTGTAGTTGTTACAGTATCTCATGGAATATAATTCACGATGAAAGAGCTGAAGAACATGTCCACTAAAGGTTATCTACGAAACCTTGTCCAGGAAATCTTGTCTATCGAAATGAGAAGATTTATTCGTAATTGAAAACTTTAACAAATCTCTCAAACCTCATTTTAACGCATTATCATTGTAATCCGCGAACCTCTTTCAATCGTTCAATTAACAAATCTCTCAAACCTTCCATCTCTCTTAGTAGGGGATTGAGAAAGTTTTTTGTAATCAAGAGAGGAGAAATCGTCGAAATCAAAACGAGAAGTGAGGGGAACGGTGAGTCAGAATCAAATTGAGGACTGAGAATCGATGGTGGTTACATAGATCGATGATCGAATGGCTGTCAACTGGAAAGGCGGATTGGTCGCTGACGTAGATCTCCGGTAAGGTAATTATGGTGTTTACTGGTATGTTCAATTAAATGAAAGGGTGTCCAATTCAAGTAGAACAAAAAAATGTTCTTCAATGGCTTAACACAAACACCAATCCCAGTGGACAAGGCTAAGTAGAAAAACAAAATAACTACAGTGTGTCGTACAATAACACACACAGATTTTTCTTTTTAAAAGAATATTCTTTTTAAATACTAAAATACAAAAATGAATATAAAAAAGGAGATAATGTTGATGATAAAGAAGGAAAGAGAAATGATGACAAAAAAAAGTAAAGAGAAATTAGTTACGATGGCAAATGAGTGAATAAGTAGAATGAGTGAGGGTTGAAGAGTATAAACACTCATCCAAAGTACACCATGATTTCGTAAGTGTGCCTCTGTACAATTAAAGTTTGGAAAGTGTGTCTCAGTGCAGCTTTCCCTCTTCTCTATTATGGAATGTGATTAGATACGGTCCAAATACACTTCATGGGCTTTTTATGACAATTTATAAATATTTATGGTTTAATTTTGTAGACAATTTAAAATCATCCGAAAAACTTTAAGGATGCAGGAGATACACGAGGTTCTGGGAATTACAACAATAAGAAGGATGGGTTCTTATTTAGGGTTACCGAAGAGCATTGGGGGTTCTAAAACCAAAGTTTTTTCCTTTGTGCAGGATTGGTTACATAACCATATCAATGGATGGTCATCAAAATTGCTGTCTAAGGGGTGGGGGGAAGGTAATGATTAAGGCCGTGGCAACTGCCTTACCTACGTATGTGATGTCATGCTTTCGGCTACCGAAAACGATAACAACTAAGTTAACAAGTGCAATAGCAAATTTCTGGTGGAGTACAAATGGCAATTCCGGTGGAATGCATTGGTGTTCTTGGGCAAAACTATGTGATAGTAAACAATTAGGAGGATTGGGGTTCCAAGATATTCAGGATTTCAATTCAGCCTTGTTGGCTAAGCAATTGTGGAGACTAATGGAGTTCCCGGATTCACTTTTTGTAAGGGTTTTTAAAAGTCGATACTATCGTAAGTCGAATCCTGTGGAGTAGATTCGAACTTATTCTGGTCCGATTATGGATCCTTTACTTCAGATAACACACTTGATTGACCGCCAGAGTAATTTGTGGCATAAGGAATTACTTTTAGAACATTTTGATTCGTCAAATATTTCTTTGATCAATGCAATCCCGGTTGGGAATAATCCGGTAGAGGATTCCCTAGGATGGCATTTTACAAAACATGGGCAATATACGGTAAAGTCAGGGTATCATATAGCAAGGATGGTGAATTCTCAGGGTCTAAAAACGGGCCTCTGTGGTCCTGAGTTAACACCATTATTTGCTAAGGTTTGGAAGGTACGTTGTCCACCAAAGATTCAACATTTTATGTGGCAGCTTTTGACTGGGTGTATATCGGTGTCAGCTAATCTGCGCAGGCGGGGAATCAATATTGATCCCAGCTGTGTGCGATGTGGCAATCAGTGAATCATGCAATTTTTGATTGTCCCCCGGCTAGACAAACGTGGGCTCTTGCTAAAATACCTAAGGGTCCTAATTTTTTCCCGACATAGTCTATTTATGCAAATATGGCATATTAGTTTGGTCTTAACAATTCGGGTAGTGGGGATGTTAATTATCCGTGGATATTATGGTATATTTGGAAAGCTCGTAATGCAAAGGTTTTTGAAAATTTAGATGAATGTCCTTTGGATGTTATTAGGCTAGCAAGAGATGAGGCTTCCGTGTGGAACCAGGCGCAAAATAAGGTCTCTGAAGGGGTTGTTATTAATACATGTAGGACCATGGGGATAACTGGTTTACCAATGGAACCCCAACTGGTCTTTGAGGGATATCAATGTTATTTGGATGGATCATGGAAGGCTACAGACCAATATACAAGACTAGGGTTGTATTGCCAGAACTCACAGAACATACCACCAGCTAGGGGGCCGGAACTACACGAAGAAGTCTTTCTCCCCTTCATGCAGAAGTTGAAGCACTAGTTTGGGCGATGCGTTGCATGATTGGGCACAACTTCAATGACGTCAAGTTCTACTCAGACTGTTCCGATTTGGTGAAGATGTGGTGTCTTCTCCTAAGGAATGGCCAGCGTTCTCTACTTACTTGAAGGATATACATGTGGACAGGGAAGCATTCACATCTTTTTCTTTGTCTCTTATTTCACGAAATGCAAATGTAAAAACGGATTATTTGGCACGAAAGCCCACATGATATAAACTTTGTAAACAGGTTCCCGTCAGATTGGCTTAATTGAGTTAATCTGCTAGTAAAAAAAAAACTTTAGGGGGATAGGGGATAATGATGAAAAAACAACTGAGGTTTTTAAGACTATTGACAAGGTTTTTAATGAGGCCTAAGTAACACTTCCAAGCCTCTCTTTACCAGCCCAATTTGTGGTCCAAGGCCTACTCCCAAAGCCTTGGCCCATTTTCCCTTTTCTCTTCAACTTAGCATTTATTACTTGTTGTTATTTTCAAGACTCTTGCATGAGCTTGCATGAGTGTAATTTCCAAGACACTTGTGCATGCTCTTGCATGTTTTCTTTTCTCTTCTCTCCTCTCCTTTGTTCTCCCTTCTCTATATAAACTTCATGTATCTCTCATTTGCAAGACATCAAACATTTTATTCTAAAACTCTCTCTTTACTTGTTTGATCCGAAAAGTGTGTAATATCTTTTCAACTTGTTTTCTTCTTAGTGTGTAATATCTAAGTTGGATCCAAGCTTGTAGTCTAAGAGTTTCTCATCCCTCTTGAAAGTACACCTCATTCTCCCTTTCATTCCGCTGCATCCACTCCATCTCGTCATCACCCTCATTCATCGTCATTCCGCTGTTTTGTTCAAGATCTATCCATCATTCACCATCAATCTCGCCACTTCCCTTTCAAAACCATCAAAGTGGTCCTTGGAGCATAGATCCACGTCGTTGAGTCTATCATGTGGTATCAGAGCCCCTTTGTAACCAGGTTTTGAAGTTCCATCCCGAAATTTCCGTTTTTCTGATTTTAGATCAATATTGCGTGAATTTTATAAAATAATTGGCTTGTTCAAGAATTGTGAAACCAATTGATTTAGAACCAGTGAAGAGTATTATTTTCTAAAATTAATTTCGGAATTTTTTAGAGTCAATTTGCTATTTTTCCAGATCCGTTTAAATTTGTCTGTTTTTGGACTGTTTACTTGTTAAATTTTTGATTTTTCAGGTACAATGATGACAAGTGAAGAAGAAGAAGAGTCATCTACATCTAGTCTTGAGAAGAGGATTTTGGAATCAGTCACCACCGCCATGGCAACGATGATTGAGGAAAATATTGGGGCTCTACATTTGCATCAAGTCAACCCGGAACCAAACCAACGTCAAAGACAAGAAGAACCACGGCATGAAG